TCCTTTCTAGTGAGTACATTTGGAGAGCTTTGAGACGATCCCAATAATTTAGGTGCTTTATCGCGTCTATGCGTGCCGTATATGTTCTCTGTATTCCCTCTATTTCAGCAATCTCTCCTGCTCTGAAGGGGAAAGTGAGTACTGAGCAGTACTCAAAGACAGGACAACACAAGTGACTTGAAGAGTACAACCATTGTGATGGGATTCCTGGATTTCAAAGTACTCGTAATCCATCCTACCATTTTTCTGGCTGTCGCAATATTTGCTTGGTTATGCTTCCTAAACGTTAGGTCGTCAGACATCATTATTCCAAAATCCTTTAAATGCTGTTTTCCTACTATGGTCACATTTGATTGTGTTTTGTACCCTGTATTATGTTTAAGGTCCTCATTTTTACCGTACCTGAGTACCTGGAATTTATCACTGTTAAACATCATGTTATTTTCTGATGCCCAGTCGAAAACTTTAATAATATTAGCTTGAAGTTTTTCAATGTCTTCAGCCGAGGTAATTTTCATACTGATTTTTGTGTCATCTGCAAAGGATGATACGAAGCTGTGACTTGTATTTTTGTCTATATCTGATATGAGAATAAGGAAAAGCAGCGGTGCAAGGACTGTACCCTAAGGTACAGAGCTTTTAACTGCGCACGGACTAGATTTTATATGGTTGACTGTTACTCGCTGAGTCCTGTTTGACAGAAAACTGAGTATCCAGCGTCCTACTTTACCGGTTATTCCCATTGACTTCATTTTGTGTGCTATCACGCCTTGGTCACATTTATCGAAAGCCTTTGCGAAGTCCGTGTATACCACATCAGCATTCTGTTTTTCTTCTAATGCCTCAGTGACTTTGTTGTAGTGATCAAGTAGCTGTGAGAGGCATGATCTTCCCGCTCGAAATCCATGTTGGCCTGGGTTGTGAAGGTCATTGGTCTCCATGAAATTGGTGGCCTGACTCCTAATCACTCTCTCAAATACTTTTATTATGTGCGACGTTAGTGCAACTGGTCTATAATTCTCTGTCAATGCTTTGCTCCCCTCCCTTGTGTAGAGGGGCTATGTGTGATTCAACAAGAGGCTCACAACAGTCACTATACAAGGCACTTTACATCTATGGTGAGTCACACAGTTACTAGTGTTGCTCCACACCCACCCAACTGGGCGGCAGCTTTACAGTCATGTGCTCCACACCCACCCAACTGGGCGGCAGCTTTACAGTCATGTGCTCCACACCCACCCAACTGGGCGGCAGCTTTACAGTCATGTGCTCCACACCCACCCAACTGGGCGGCAGCTTTACAGTCATGTGCAGCATTACCTACAGTAAGCAAATTTTGGATACTTGACTAAGAATCCTGGAAGTACATCATTATGAATGAAGTACTTACACATTTCTTGGACACTATTGATGGTGTTATCCCTGAATTCCGCGATTTTTTCACATTCCATTATATAATGACGCAAAGTAAGCGAATAGTTCTGCTGACAGAGTTTACATTTAGTCAAATCTACATCAGCAGATGTTACAAACTCCCAGAGGTACTTGTAGCCGAGCCTAAGCCTAGCAGTGGTAACATCTAGAAGTCTGCTAACATTATTGGATGACCCATAGACGTGCGGTTCTTCATGCATAATAGAACGATGGTAGATGGAGTAACTGGTGTGAATTTCACTTTGCCTCAAGTCTTCGAGATTTTATTGATTAATATTCCTGGAATATTGCTGCCCTCAGGCTGCTCAAAGGCAGTCCAAGTTGGTAATCAATTCCCTCTTTACGAGCGAAAGTCTTGGCCAACTCATCTGTTCTATCATGCATTCGGAGACCAATATGGGAAGGAATCCACAGGAGACAAACTAAGACTCCATCATTGATTATTTCACTATATCTGTGTCTAGCTTCAGAGACAAGCACGTCACAGTTATGCCTTGGGGAGCTGAGGGCAGTCAAGGATGACAAGGAGTCAAGAAGGGAGAAAACAATGACTCCAATTATCTGTTGTTGGAGGGCAGAGGGTAGTGGGCACTATACCCCAGGCGAGGCGCCCCCCCCCTCCCCAGGCACCCATACCCAAATAAACATTCTTAATTACAGCCACTTAACCAGCCGCCCTCATAACAGCCAAGACGCTCGTAGCAAATACCATCTCAACTTTGTCTTGCTGCGTCAGACCACACACCCTACCTCTCCCAGCCTGCCTGGTGCAGGTCACCACTCTGGGTTTACCTCTCCCAGCCTGCCTGGTGCAGGTCACCGCTCTGGGTCTACCTCTCCCAGCCTGCCTGGTGCAGGTCACCGCCCTGGGTCTACCTCTCCCAGCCTGCCTGGTGCAGGTCACCACTCTGGGTCTACCTCTCCCAGCCTGCCTGGTGCAGGTCACCGCCCTGGGCCTACCTCTCCCAGCCTGCCTGGTGCAGGTCACCACTCTGGGTCTACCTCTCCCAGCCTGCCTGGTGCAGGTCACCGCCCTGGGCCACCTCTCCCAGCCTGCCTGGTGCAGGTCACCGCCCTGGGTCTACCTCTCCCAGCCTGCCTGGTGCAGGTCACCGCTCTGGGTCTACCTCTCCCAGCCTGCCTGGTGCAGGTCACCGCCCTGGGCCTACCTCTCCCAGCCTGCCTGGTGCAGGTCACCACTCTGGGTCTACCTCTCCCAGCCTGCCTGGTGCAGGTCACCGCTCTGGGCCTACCTCTCCCAGCCTGCCTGGTGCAGGTCACCACTCTGGGTCTACCTCTCCCAGCCTGCCTGGTGCAGGTCACCGCTCTGGGTCTACCTCTCCCAGCCTGCCTGGTGCAGGTCACCACTCTGGGTCTACCTCTCCCAGCCTGCCTGGTGCAGGTCACCGCTCTGGGTCTACCTCTCCCAGCCTGCCTGGTGCAGGTCACCGCTCTGGGTCTACCTCTCCCAGCCTGCCTGGTGCAGGTCACCGCTCTGGGCCTACCTCTCCCAGCCTGCCTGGTGCAGGTCACCACTCTGGGTCTACCTCTCCCAGCCTGCCTGGTGCAGGTCACCGCCCTGGGCCTACCTCTCCCAGCCTGCCTGGTGCAGGTCACCACTCTGGGTCTACCTCTCCCAGCCTGCCTGGTGCAGGTCACCGCTCTGGGTCTACCTCTCCCAGCCTGCCTGGTGCAGGTCACCACTCTGGGTCTACCTCTCCCAGCCTGCCTGGTGCAGGTCACCCCTCTGGGCCTCCCTCTCCCAGCCTGCCTGGTGCAGATCACCGCCCTGGGCCACCTCTCCCAGCCTGCCTGGTGCAAGTCACCGCCCTGGGCCACCTCTCCCAGCCTGCTTGGTGCAGGTCACCGCTCTGGGTCTACCTCTCCCAGCCTGCCTGGTGCAGGTCACCGCCCTGGGCCACCTCTCCCAGCCTGCCTGGTGCAGGTCACCGCCCTGGGCCACCTCTCCCAGCCTGCCTGGTGCAGGTCACCGCCCTGGGCCACCTCTCCCAGCCTGCCTGGTGCAGGTCACCGCCCTGGGCCACCTCTCCCAGCCTGCCTGGTGCAGGTCACCGCCCTGGGCCACCTCTCCCAGCCTGCCTGGTGCAGGTCACCGCCCTGGGCCACCTCTCCCAGCCTGCCTGGTGCAGGTCACCGCCCTGGGCCACCTCTCCCAGCCTGCCTGGTGCAGGTCACCGCCCTGGGCCACCTCTCCCAGCCTGCCTGGTGCAGGTCACCGCCCTGGGCCACCTCTCCCAGCCTGCCTGGTGCAGGTCACCGCCCTGGGCCACCTCTCCCAGCCTGCCTGGTGCAGGTCACCGCCCTGGGCCACCTCTCCCAGCCTGCCTGGTGCAGGTCACCGCCCTGGGCCACCTCTCCCAGCCTGCCTGGTGCAGGTCACCGCCCTGGGCCACCTCTCCCAGCCTGCCTGGTGCAGGTCACCGCCCTGGGCCTACCTCTCCCAGCCTGCCTGGTGCAGGTCACCGCCCTGGGCCACCTCTCCCAGCTTGCCTGGTGCAGGTCACAATAAACTGGCTGCCTCCGGTGGTAACAGTACAGCCCGTCCTCCACAAATGCGGAGGTAAATGTAACAGCGCCATAAGTGCAATTATGTACTATGTATGATAGTCAGGAATTGTACTTATTTTCACTTAGTATTAAACCGTACTGTCAAATATAGTGAATATTTGAGTTTACCTGAAAAGGTGGATAGAAAACCACGACCTAACCTAACCGTCTTAGTTTTTGAAGATAAGCATTTTATTGCTTCTTAATTAGAATTACTACTTAACCTATAGCTATATTGATATTACAGTTTTATAAAAAATAAAATAAAAATAAATTATTTCAGAAAATTGTAAAGTAACTCAGGATATTTTCAAATTTTGTATAAAATCTTTATTGTTTAATAAAACTGAAAATGAAATTCCTGATATTTAAAACTTTGTTATAGTGAACTGATCTTTGAAACTTCATCCTAAAATTCCGTGTGACTTAACAGAAAACAAGAATTAATGGGGAGGTAAATGTAACAGCCCCATAAGTGCAATTATGTACTATGTATGACAGTTAGGAAATGTACTTATTACACTTGGTATTAAAACGTACTGTCAATTCGGAGGATGAGTTGTGTCAATATCTGGGACGCTAAAATGCCTAGCCAAGACCTGCCTTGTTAGTCATGGTGATAAGACTCCCAAGACTTGGTGACACACACACACACAGACACGTCCGACACAAGACCTGGTGACACACACACACACACACACACACACACACACACACACACACAGACACGTCCGACACAAGACCTGGTGACACACACACACACACACACACACACACACACACACACACACACACACACACACACACACACACACACACACACACACGTCCGACACCAGACCTGGTGACATACACACACACACACACACACACACACACACACACACACACACACACACACACACACACACACACACACACACACACACACACACACGCACACACACACACACACACGCACACACACGTCCGACACAAGAGCCGGGTGATATACTCACATGTCGAACATGTCGACGTTGACGCGGGTGGCGGCGGTGAGGACGGCAGCGTGAGTGAGGAGGGCGCGAGGGTGCAGGACATTGGCGCCCTGGTCCTTGGGCGTCAGGATGAGGATCTGCTTGGTGGTGCCGGCGCCCTCCCCCAGACTCTTCTCCACGTAGGCCAGCTCCTGCTCCAGCCGCCCGCCCTCTGTAACACACAAACACACCTGTTGTACACCACACACTACACACCTGCTTCATGCCACACACTAAACCCAGCTGTTACACACTGCCTCGGACACCTGCCCCAACGTCTCATCTTCTGCTTCAAGATAAACAACACGCCATCCTGTCGTAGATAGGTAGACAGGTAGACAAGAGGGAAGATGGTAGATATGGAGCCCGAGCGTCGTACTCATTACCCTCTGAAATATAAGCTAATCATTAGATGCAGAATATTATAAAATACAACAAACCAAACCTTCTTCAACACTAAAACTCTAAACACAAAACACACACATTAACCGTAGAAGTGTACAAACTCTGCACAAACAGAGGTTAACGGTTTAACCAACTAAACTGTTGGTGAGGGCAGCCGGCAGACCATCGCGGGGACCACAGCCTGGGGGATCAGCCGCCCTCTGGCAGGCTTTATTGATGACGCAGACGACGAGTCACGATAACGGGGCTCCAGATATGATGACCAGACAACTCATCACAAGATGATGAGGCGACGACGCGTCGCTCCGTCCTGGACCCATTATCAAGTCGAGATGTCGTCGTGTCTCCATCTTGTGGTGAGTGGTTTGGTCATCCTCAGAGATTACTCTCAAGAAGTGTTACTACAGCTTCTCAAGGAGGTGCTGGGGTGGTCATGAGGTGATGGGCCCTTAACGTTGACACAACTGCCTCTTAGTGGCGGCTTGTTGCATCTAACCTTCCAGCAAGTGTCCGCCAGACCTCGCGGGACTTCCTTATATCTCTGCTATATCTCGCCCCACATGTGTACACCGTAATCCACATCTGTTGTAAGAGCTCACAATAATTCGCCTGTTTAATTACACGGCCCCAGCCACACCCTCACTATCGACACGTGAGCATCACCAAAGTGGCGCTGATCAACAGTGTGACTGACCACACCGTCAAACGGGAGGCCTGTTGAAGACCGAACCCCACCATGGAGGCCAGCCCCTGCTCCAGCACCCCACCATGGTGGCTAGCCCCTGCTCCAGCACCCCACCATGGGGGCCAGCCCCTGCTCCAGCACCCCCACCATGGTGGCCAGCCCCTGCTCCAGCACCCCACCATGGTGGCTAGCCCCTGCTCCAGCACCCCACCATGGGGGCCAGCCCCCTGCTCCAGCACCCCACCATGGTGGCCAGCCCCTGCTCCAGCACTCCACCATGGGGGCCAGCCCCTGCTCCAGCACCCCACCATGGTGGCCAGCCCCTGCTCCAGCACCCCACAATGGGGGCCAGCCCCTGCTCCAGCACCCCACCATGGGGGCCAGCCCCTGCTCCAGCACCCCACCATGGTGGCCAGCCCCCTGCTCCAGCACCCCACCATGGGGGCCAGCCCGTGCTCCAGCACCCCACCATGGGGGCCAGGCCCCTGCTCCAGCACCCCACCATGGTGGCCAGCCCCTGCTCCAGCACCCCCACCATGGGGGCCAGCCCCGGCTCCAGCACCCCCACCATGGTGGCCAGCCCCTGCTCCAGCACCCCACCATGGGGGCCAGCCCCTGCTCCAGCACCCCACCATGGTGGCCAGCCCCCTGCTCCAGCACCCCCACCATGGTGGCCAGCCCCTGCTCCAGCACCCCCACCATGGTGGCCAGCCCCTGCTCCAGCACCCCACCATGGTGGCCAGCCCCCTGCTCCAGCACCCCCACCATGGTGGCCAGCCCCTGCTCCAGCACCCCACCATGGTGGCCAGCCCCCTGCTCCAGCACCCCCACCATGGTGGCCAGCCCCTGTTCCAGCACCCCACCATGGGGGCCAGCCCCCTGCTCCAGCACCCCACCATGGGGGCCAGCCAGCTGGGGAGGCCTGGCCTGACCCACAACCGCCCTCCATTTGAGGGCCCCCAACTACCTTATTTGGTTGTTATTATAGTGTAATAAACGGTGTAGATGGTGGTGGTGGTGGTGGTGGTGGTGGTGGTGGTGGTGGTCGTGGGCACAGCTTTCACTTCCTCTCTTACTGCTGTAGACGGTCGTACACCTCCCTCCATCACCTGGTCACACACCAGTCTGCTCAACCACACCACCAGCCCGGAGGCCAGGTCAGAGACCGGGCCGTGGGGACGCGGATCCTCGGAATCACCACAACGCAAGCAGGAGCGCCATCACTCCCTGAACGTACAACCACTCAACATCAGACTACAACAGCCAGCAACAAGGGTGTGGAATATAATTTAAATGTTAGAAGACCCAATACTAGAGAGATTAATCCAAGATGAGACGCCCCGCTCCCACAGCTGGTGGCCCAAGATGAGACGCCCCGCTCCCACAGCTGGTGGCCCAAGATGAGACGCCCCGCTCCCACAGCTGGTGGCCCAAGATGAGACGCCCCACTCCCACAGCTGGTGGCCCAAGTTGAGACGCCCCGCTCCCACAGCTGGTGGCCCAAGTTGAGACGCCCCGCTCCCACAGCTGGTGGCCCAAGATGAGACGCCCCGCTCCCACAGCTGGTGGCCCAAGATGAGACGCCCCACTCCCACAGCTGGTGGCCCAAGTTGAGACGCCCCGCTCCCACAGCTGGTGGCCCAAGATGAGACGCCCCGCTCCCACAGCTGGTGGCCCAAGATGAGACGCCCCACTCCCACAGCTGGTGGCCCAAGATGAGACGCCCCGCTCCCACAGCTGGTGGCCCAAGATGAGACGCCCCACTCCCACAGCTGGTGGCCCAAGTTGAGACGCCCCGCTCCCACAGCTGGTGGCCCAAGATGAGACGCCCCGCTCCCACAGCTGGTGGCCCAAGATGAGACGCCCCACTCCCACAGCTGGTGGCCCAAGATGAGACGCCCCGCTCCCACAGCTGGTGGCCCAAGATGAGACGCCCCGCTCCCACAGCTGGTGGCCCAAGATGAGACGCCCCACTCCCACAGCTGGTGGCCCAAGTTGAGACGCCCCGGTCCCACAGCTGGTGGCCCAAGATGAGACGCCCCACTCCCACAGCTGGTGGCCCAAGATGAGACGCCCCGCTCCCACAGCTGATGGCCCAAGATGAGACGCCCCGGTCCCACAGCTGGTGGCCCAAGTTGAGACGCCCCACTCCCACAGCTGGTGGCCCAAGATGAGACGCCCCACTCCCACAGCTGGTGGCCCAAGATGAGACGCCCCGCTCCCACAGCTGGTGGCCCAAGATGAGACGCCCCGGTCCCACAGCTGGTGGCCCAAGATGAGACGCCCCACTCCCACAGCTGGTGGCCCAAGATGAGACGCCCCGCTCTCACAGCTGGTGGCCCAAGATGAGACGCCCCGGTCCCACAGCTGGTGGCCCAAGATGAGACGCCCCGGTCCCACAGCTGGTGGCCCAAGTTGAGACGCCCCGGTCCCACAGCTGGTGGCCCAAGTTGAGACGCCCCACTCCCACAGCTGGTGGCCCAAGTTGAGACGCCCCGGTCCCACAGCTGGTGGCCCAAGTTGAGACGCCCCGGTCCCACAGCTGGTGGCCCAAGTTGAGACGCCCCACTCCCACAGCTGGTGGCCCAAGTTGAGACGCCCCGCTCCCACAGCTGGTGGCCCAAGTTGAGACGCCCCGGTCCCACAGCTGGTGGCCCAAGTTGAGACGCCCCGGTCCCACAGCTGGTGGCCCAAGTTGAGACGCCCCTCTCCCACAGCTGGTGGCCCAAGTTGAGACGCCCCGGTCCCACAGCTGGTGGCCCAAGTTGAGACGCCCCGGTCCCACAGCTGGTGGCCCAAGTTGAGACGCCCCGGTCCCACAGCTGGTGGCCCAAGTTGAGACGCCCCACTCCCACAGCTGGTGGCCCAAGTTGAGACGCCCCGGTCCCACAGCTGGTGGCCCAAGTTGAGACGCCCCGGTCCCACAGCTGGTGGCCCAAGTTGAGACGCCCCGGTCCCACAGCTGGTGGCCCAAGTTGAGACGCCCCGGTCCCACAGCTGGTGGCCCAAGTTGAGACGCCCCGGTCCCACAGCTGGTGGCCCAAGTTGAGACGCCCCGGTCCCACAGCTGGTGGCCCAAGTTGAGACGCCCCGGTCCCACAGCTGGTGGCCCAAGTTGAGACGCCCCGGTCCCACAGCTGGTGGCCCAAGTTGAGACGCCCCGCTCCCACAGCAGGTGGCCCAAGATGAGACGCCCCGCTCCCGCAGCTGGTGGCCCAAGATGAGACGCCCCGGTCCCACAGCTGGTGGCTCAAGTTGAGACGCCCCACTCCCACAGCTGGTGGCCCAAGATGAGACGCCCCACTCCCACAGCTGGTGGCCCAAGTTGAGACGCCCCGCTCCCACAGCAGGTGGCCCAAGATGAGACGCCCCGCTCCCACAGCTGGTGGCCCAAGTTGAGACGCCCCGCTCCCACAGCTGGTGGCCCAAGTTGAGACGCCCCGCTCCCACAGCTGGTGGCCCAAGTTGAGACGCCCCGCTCCCACAGCTGGTGGCCCAAGATGAGACGCCCCACTCCCACAGCTGGTGGCCCAAGATGAGACGCCCCGCTCCCACAGCTGGTGGCCCAAGTTGAGACGCCCCGCTCCCACAGCTGGTGGCCCAAGTTGAGACGCCCCGCTCCCACAGCTGGTGGCCCAAGTTGAGACGCCCCACTCCCACAGCTGGTGGCCCAAGATGAGACGCCCCACTCCCACAGCTGGTGGCCCAAGATGAGACGCCCCGCTCCCACAGCTGGTGGCCCAAGATGAGACGCCCCACTCCCACAGCTGGTGGCCCAAGATGAGACGCCCCGCTCCCACAGCTGGTGGCCCAAGATGAGACGCCCCACTCCCACAGCTGGTGGCCCAAGTTGAGACGCCCCACTCCCACAGCTGGTGGCCCAAGATGAGACGCACTGCTCCCACAGCTGGTGGCCCAAGATGAGACGCCCCGCTCCCACAGCTGGTGGCCCAAGTTGAGACGCCCCACTCCCACAGCTGGTGGCCCAAGATGAGACGCCCCACTCCCACAGCTGGTGGCCCAAGATGAGACGCCCCGCTCCCACAGCTGGTGGCCCAAGTTGAGACGCCCCGCTCCCACAG